ACACCATATAATTCTGCAACCTAAAGCAATAGTTGGATCAAGATGAACACTTAATGTACCCTTCCCTAGCTCTGGAGTAGGCTCCTACAAAGCAAGTGTTACAAGATAWCTCGGGGCTAAAACAAAAGACGGGAGCAACCATGACAAAGAACCATAAAATTAAGTGTCTTGCACAGATTCTTAAAGTCCGCAGCCAGAGCAAGCTGAATATGTCCAGTTAAGGCTTCTTTAACCTTTTTCATACCTTAACATTATTAATGCTATAAATATATATATATATATAACACAATGTAAACATGCTAAGTACTTATTCACCAGGGCATTAATTCAGCCCCATACGGGGGGCAGAATCTGTCCCCTTCAATGGTAATTACAATGATGACCAATAAAACATAAGCCCGGGACCTTCGTGTTTTCAAGAAACTGGTAGTATTTGTCAACAGCAGACTTCAGCATCACACTGCTTGATGAGATGTATTCGGCAAGAAGGCCTGGAAAGTCTTTGTAATTAAGCAATAACRATTGAGGGCCAGGGCATTTCCTGGGGATTAATGACCAGCTGGGAGAGTTGATGGCTAGAAGCAATGCCTTGGGCCATTAACCCCAGCCAGTCATTAATTTCCCCAGGAAATGCCCTGGACCTCGAGTAGCATAACTATTATAAAAAAATAGCTACAGTGAAAAAGTTTAATGTTCTCCCAAGGATATCTCTTCTAGAGCCAATATTTTTTTAATTTTGTCATATCCCAATAGTGGTGCATAAGTTAAAACTGACACAAGAGGAATGAGTGATAAAAAAGCTTCCTTCTCCTAAGGATTTAAATTAATGAGTTCTGTAGTAAAGGCAAGATTTAGCTACAAAAGTGGCCAGGCAGCTTGTTTAGCTGATTAAATGATGAATGGAGATGAATGTTTCCATATAATTACTGAAAACCCCAAGCTGCTGATTGCTCATTTTCTTTCTCGATACAGTTAAGAAAACTGCCCGTGTCTGTGCCCCCTATCATCGAAGTGAGATATTTCTCTCCCAATAACCAGTCACTAATGAGAAGTGCAGCTCTGAAGGCTTCAGGTAGGAAGCTCAGCTCTGCAACACACAGTCCAACAGCTGTATTTCTCCTCGGTAAGTTTAAGGCAAGTGTGAAATAATAAGAAGATATTCTGGGCTAGGCTTGGGAACAAGCTACCCAGCCTGACGACTAAAGGTACCGAGACACCTCGTTTTCACAGGTAAAAGACACACATATTCCATTGCACTTAGCTCCATCGGGCCATTCTGCCCAATGCCCTTGGCATGGCTTTGCTATCCTAGAAGTTGAACTAGAGCTTGAAGTTTCAAAATTAGCTTTTGAGGACATTAAAGGCAGGCAAAAAGAGGGCTTCATCATTAAACACAGCAAAAAGCATTAGCTTATAGCTGAACTAGGGAGCTAGAACAAAACCACTATCTGCACATAATCGAGCCTCTAAACCATTCGGAGACACCAGATAYACACAGCAGGAGGTCAAGCTACAGAACTGTGCTGAAACGGTCCAAAAAAATCAAATAAATGAAAAAATAACAAAACTCACACATCTAGGAGAAAAAAAAAAGAAAAACGGGTTGCAGGAGGTATGTTAAGAGACCAGAGATGCTCATGCAGGCATTCACAGAAAGTCCCTTCCCCTTTCTTCCCCGCCCCCCATCCCGAACTAGCCTTCAGGCTGGGTGATTAGCTGGCAAACTCTTTGAAAGGGTCAGTTTGTCCAGAACTGGTATTTCCACTTCAGAAACAGCTCAGGCATGTCATATACCTGTGCTCACCGCACAGCGCTCTTCGAGGCCCACGGCTGCAATCGCTGCTATTATTTGACACAAGAATGTCAGAGGGGTTTTGTAATCGCGCCGGGCAGCCAGCATTCAAGTTATGGCCTCAAATGCGGTATTTTATGGGGCACATCGCAAGTGCRTAAGTTTTATAGATTTAGTTGGAACGACTTCCAAACTGCAAGCCAACTGCAAGACTTTAATTGAAACACAGGACGGCAAGTTAGGTGCAATGATCAAAAACCCCAAAGGAACCTGCTCTACAGGGGGACAGGCAGCGCACCCCAAGTGCRTGCTGTAACACAGCACAAGGGGTCCATAACCCATAACACATAACAATAAGACACATCTCTGCAGCGTTCTTGACAAGACTGTTTTACCTAAATAAAAAAAAGTAAAGAAAAACAGAAAAAAATATCCCACACATCTAATGAACTTGGTCGTGTTCCACAGCTAAACTACACCTAACCCATTTAATTGTGCTGTTACTGTATATTTCCCAACTATGGCAACTAATGCCAGGTTGCCTTATTAAAAAAAAAAAAAAAAAAAAAAAAGGAAAGGAAAAGAAAAAGGATCATTGCCAGGAAACAGAGCTATTTTAAACAAACAAATACAAGATGAATGCAATTGCCATATTAACCCTCTTGTTAACTTCTGAAGTTTAAAATTACACCCTCATTACTAGTGTGTAATTGAGTATTCTCCTGGCTGTTTCCTGCATTTGAGGTTACTCAAATAGTTCATTAGCACATCAAGAGCACCGAACGMGCTAATGATATCTGACACCCTTATCTACCATTTTGGCCCAACTTTCATAACTCATAACTCCTGGAAAAARGCGGGTGCAGCTCGGGGCACTCGGCCGCGGAGGGGAGAGCGCAGGGGCACCGCTTGCGGTCGCAGCGCCGGCTCCCTCGGTCTGGGGCAGGGCCAGGAACTTTGCAAGCTCGTGTGGGGCTCGCTTGCACACACACTCGCCTGCACARAGGGGCACCCGTCTCCAGAGGCACCCACATTTGGAGGAAAAAAGGCGGAAAAGAGGGACAGTGGGAGTTGTCAACTTTTCTTTCTTTTTTCCTTTTTTTTTTTTCTGGTTACCTGTGTGGGGGAAACAAGAGCAGGTGAAACTACTGTGGGTGAGGTGGCGCTTCTGTGCCCGTTGGCTTCGGGCAGCAGGTGAGGCAGGGGGTCGTGTTTCACTGAGACCACCACGACGGCGGGCACGGCGGCGTCCGGCGGCTCGGCAGCGCGGCGGCACAGTCTTTTGGGCGACGCCGAGGGGCCGCACGCGTCGCCGCCGGCCGCGGCGCCCGCCGGGAACACCGCCTCGTAGAGGGCCCGCTTGGCCGGGGCCACCGCGGCCGCTTCCGCCTTCACCGGCGCCGCGTCGCTGTCTTTGGGCACCACGTAGGGGTCGGTGGCGGGTGGCCGGGGCCGCGGGCCGCCGTTGAGGGTGGCRGCGGTGAAGCAGCCGCCGCCAGCGGGGTGGTGGAGGAGGTGGTGGTGGTGGTGGGGAGAGGGGTGGTGGTGGTGCAGTGCCGGCTGCGTCCCCCCCAGCTTGGTGCCGATGCCGGCGATGCTGTTGAGGGTGGCGATGGAGACGGCGCCGATGCAGTGGTTGGTGTAGGTCTTGGAGAGCTTGGCCGCCTTGGAGAGCATCTGCATGCGCGTGCCCAGGAGGTTCTTGCCGATGGCCTTGTTCTCGTACCAGGTGACATCGCCCTCGCTGCAGTGGTCCCGCGGGCGCTGGAAGAAGGCCTTGCAGAGGGGGTTGCGCTTGGAGAGGTACTTGACGAAGCTAGCGTAGGGGCAGAATTCGGTGCCCGTCTCGTACATACGGGGCAGGTTCTCCTCGTCGCTGCTCTCCGCCCGCTTCTTGTTCCAGGAGGACGACCGCGACTTGTGGTAGGGCCCCAGCGCCTTGAAGTAGACGAACTTGCGGCCGTCCTCGTCCATGGCCAGCCCGAAGGAGTCCTCCTCCAGCTCCCGTTGGTTCTCCCGGCCCCGAGTGCAGAAGTACATGCAGGTCTCGAACCAGACCTTGTTGAGGAGCCCGAAGGGGCTCTGCGTGCTGAAGACACTGCAGGTGTAGAGCTTGCGCAGGTCGGCACGGGTGATGGCCTGCTTCTGCACCACAGGCCCGGCGCCCTGCTCCTCCAGCTTGCGGATGACGGCGGCCAGCGTGAGGTTGGCGGCGCGCAGCTCGGGGTCCTTGGTGAGGTCCAGCGTGCGGCAGTAGGGCGGCTCGTTGAGGTAGCGGTTGAGGGAGCTGCGGATGCTGATGAGCGAGGACTTGGAGTAGAGCTGCCCGCTCTTGGAGCGCGCCTCGGCGTAGAAGGAGCGCAGCACGCGGCAGAGCGCCCCCTTGTCCATGGTCTCGAAGTCGGGGCTCTGCGCCTTCTCGCTGAGGTACTCGCGGAAGATGCGCACGGCGTAGCGGGTCGCGAGCCGCGTGTTCTCGCTCAGCCGCGCCCGCTCGGGCCGCTGCAGCAGCAGGGCCGCCTCCAGCTCCGCGTCCTCCGCCGCGCCGCCGCCGCCGCCGCCCCCCGGGGCCGCCGCTGCCGCCGCCGGGGCGCCCCCCGGGGCCGCCCCGACGCCGCCGCCGCCCGGCGTATGGACCGGCTCCGGCGGCAGCGGCTCCTCCTCGCCGTCCCACTCCAGACCCATCTCCTCTTCCTCCTCCTCCTCCTCCTCCTCGTCCAGCAGCAGCCCCCCATCGGCTCCGTCCTCCTCCTCGTCCCCCGTTATCTGCACCTCCTGGATCTCATCCTCCTCCTCGCCCTCCTCCTCCTCGCCGGCGCTGCAGTAGTGCTGCGGGCGGTGGGTGCCGCCGCGGCCCGGCGGGCGGTCGCCCGCATTGTTCTCGCCGGTGCCGCCGCCGGTGCCGGTGCCGCCGCCGGTGCTCCAGTCGCCGCCGCCGCCGCTGCCAGGCATTCTCGCCATATTGCCGTCTCCCTGCCAGTCCTGGGGCAGGGCGCATGCGCTATATTGGACCGCAGCGCTGGAGCGCTTTTGTGTTTAATGACCTTCAGCTACCGGGAGGCAAAGCCGGGCTCTTAAAGGGCCCGCGCTCCCAGTGGCGGCGGCGGGGAACGGGTGGGGGACGCGGCTGGGGGTGGACGGCTAAGGGGGGCGGCAGAGGGAAGGGGGCCGCCCGCCCGCCCCTCTCTCCCCAGACAGAGCTACTTACCGGCGCCCGCCCGCCGCTCACCTCGGGGCCGTCCCGTCGAGGCAGTGTCAAGAAGCGGGGGACGGGTACGGGGGGAGCCGCCGCGCCGGGGCTCCGGCACGGCGGCTCCCCCCGTGCCCGTCCCGCGGAGCCGGCGCTTCGCCCCGACGGCTCCTCCTCCTCCTCCCCCGGCCCGTCCCTCGCCGCCTGGATGCGCCGGCGAAGCCGCCGGTACCGGGCTCGGTAGCAGTGAGAGCCCCGCCGGGCCGGCGGAACCCACGGAGTAGCGCCCCGACGGCCCCGCCGCTGCCGCCCCGACGGCTGCGCCGCCGCCGCGCGTGTTTCTGGCGGCTCCGCCGCTGCCTGATGCGCCCCCGCGGCGGCCGCGGGTCACGGCACTTGCGCGGCCGCTGCCCGCTCGCCCCCTCCCCTGGGAAGCGGCCTCCCCCCGAGGGCACCGCGGCTGCGGCCGCCCGGAGAGCGGCGCTGGGCTCAGCCCGCACCGGCGCGGTCCTTACACGGGGCGGGCGGGGAGGGAAGCGCCATCGCTATCGGCGTGCGGGAACGCGGCTCCGGGGTCGGCTCCCTGGGTACTTTCGCTCCTCCTTCCCCTCTCTCCCCTCTCCATCCACCGCGGAAGCCGAACAAAAAACAAACCGCGGCGCTCAACGGAGCGCGGATGCGGGAGCTCCGCGGGCAGCCGAGCTGGGGAGGGGGGGAAGAAGCACYGGGGACCAGCAGGGACCGCCGCAAGGGGAGAGGGCGACACCTCGTAACGCTAAAACMTTGCGATGCCACAGCTTTGCGAAAGAAAGGAACTTAAAAAAGGAAAAAGATCCCCCCTCGCCGCCTGCCCTGCGCAAGAGGCGGCGGCTCCGCGCGGGGCGGCCCCGGTCCCGCCGCCCTCGCACGTCGCGGGACGGCCGCGCTTGGGGCAGAGGCGGCCTCGGAGGAGCCGGACACCGGGGGCCCCGCCGGACACCGGCGTCACCACGGGGCGGCTGCCCCAGAAATAACGGCAAGGGCGGGAGGGMCAAGGCAAGGGCGCCGCTCGCCCCTGGCCGCCCCGTTGCGGGCTCCCCGTGCCCGTCCCTCCTGCGCTCCCCACGGGGCAGCCACKGCTCACCCTCCGCAGCACTGCCCTGCACGGGACCCCAGCCCCCCGGGCGATTGCTTTTATTCGCTAGGCCGAAATAAATATTCATTAGGACTACGAGCTGCACCTGGAATTAGAGCCCTAATTACAGAGCCGCTGGTCCGGGCTGCTGTGCTCGGTTCTTACTCATCTGCCGGGTGTTGCCCAAGCCGCGCTTAGCTCTGGTTGTGCCGAGCTCTGTAGGCGCATGGAGAAGGGCGCAGAAGGGATCTGCCAATAGTGGAGTGAATGGGAGCAGCTGGAAGCAATTGGGTGCTCTGAGAAGAAGGTCTGCTACCCACAGAGTACACTCTGTGAATGGGAAGTAACAGGGTACTGTCACGCAGAGGAAACCTGGAGCACTTCTGCAACAGTCAGAGTTGCTGCTTGCTCCTAAAAAAATTGTGCCCACTTTGTAGCCTGGCGGGGGATTATTCCCTCTTGGGTTGATGTCTAGATATTATAGAGCTGTGTACTTTTTCTTTCCTCTTACGGACATAAAGAAGATATAAATACTCCCCCCATACACTAATTGCAATGCAATCCACAGCCAAAATCTCAAAGATCTTACAATGAGATAGTCTAGATGTCAAAATGGGTAGCTACAAAGCAGAAAGACTGACGGGTTAAAACCCAAATGGCCCAGACAGGTTCCTGCAGGGAGCTAAACGACCAAGGACACAGAGAACAGCAAGGCTTGCAGCATATACTTTTTCTGTGAAGATTTTTGTTTCCTGTTTTACTTCCATAAATGCTAAAATGACATGATTGGCATTGACTATTTCTTCACTAAGATCATTGAGAAGATGAAGCCACCTTTTTTTTTTTTTTTTTTTTTTTTTT